AGAAAGGAAGACGGGACAAAAGCACGCCGTGGAAGAGAGCCAGATATTAATAACAACTAATAACTGAATAAAGATCAGTATCAGTCTGAATCCAAGTATTTGCTGGGATCAGAGTGATTTGATATTTTCAAGCAAATTAATTAGTTACAATGTCCTAGAGGGGCAGGAAAAGAACAACAATTATCAAAAATGAAAATAAAGTGCACGGTTAGTGTCTGAGTAACCCATGGCAGTGCCCCAGCATGCACAACTGTGAAACTGAGGCAGCTAAATTCAGCCATCACCTACTGTGGTTACACAGCTGTTCTTTTCCTACGTCACGTTCATCTCCACTTAGTGAACAATAAGTAAAGGGCCTGCTAATTTTCTTTATGTTGCATCAGTTTAAATGTTTGCTGTATGTACGGTAAAAATGCAAAAAAGTCATTTATATACAACAAGTGTTCTTCGACTGCACTGGGGTACGATAGGTTAAAGCAACTTTTTGCTAAACTATAAAACAAACGCTCTTTACTGTGATTGTTTGTAAACATTGAAGGTCACAAGCTATCATTAGCTGCATGCTATCAGGGTCTATGGCCTTGTTAGGCTTAAATATTAGAAGTTAGTTACTGTGTCAGCTCCCTGAATCCAGAATTGAATTTAAAGTCCTCCTCCTGATATACAGAGGCATAATTCACCATCATGTCTTAACGATCGTCATATTAAATGGCAGAAACAATTCTGTGCATGAATATCCTCTTATCTGCTTTGGTGCAAATAATTTTTTTTAACTTACTTTGATTGAACCTTTGCCTCGCGTTTGATAATTAAAGGGTTCGCCTTAAAACTGGTGCATTAACCAAAATCTAAAATTATTCTTCTGAATTATACTTGGACACTGCAGTCAGCCACCCAGCATTTATGTTTCTATGGAAACATTGTAACATATATCCAAAATACTTTACTAGCAGCATATACCTTTATTCAAAATGTGTGGTTTAAACTCATACAATACTACAAGTAATTTATCTACTATTCTTGTTTTATTCATTTATAAATTTCAGTGCACTATATGAACATCATTAACCTGAGCCCCCAAATTTAAATTTAAAATTAAAACTTTCCTGCCAAAAGGAAGTTCTTTTCCCCCACCATCACCAAGTGCCTATTCACAGGTTACCATGGAGTGTTGAAATTACTTATTTCTTCTTGATATAAAATTTGTCCACATTCTTTACGGTATTAGATGCCCCTAAAGATTCCCTTGTGTGAATGCGATTACATAATTTCACCTGTATGAAATTCAATTGCATGCCAAAGAACTCTTGGGAGGGGAAAAACAAGAAAAATGCAAATATCACTCGAACAAGAATTCTTATTTTATTGACTAAATCTCAGCTTACAGGAAGACAGTTGTATTGCAAAGACAGAACCGGGTACAAGTTCTAGTGCTGTGGTCATCTACTCACTAAAACGCCACAAAAACCATGATGCTTTGAAATACAGCTATGTCACCGGACAGAAAGACACTGGAACGCCATTACAGCACGTCACAATATGAATAGGATGAGGAGGCAGCGGTGGCTGACTCAGACGCTGGGAGGGAGCAAGGGGAAGGTGGCGTATGACAAATGCACATCTCACTTTCTAGTTTTGTGTCACTCATCTTCTCTCCCAGCTTGTGAACGGATGTGTCCTCGTCTGCAGCGCACTGTATACTGCACTGGTATTTCATCTGAGCACAGTGCTTGTACCACAAGTTCTAGTGAATCATTTACTATCTTAAAATTATTCTGATAGGAAACTACAGCAATACTGGGCGTGTCTTTCAAAATAAAGATTTACTTTTTGGTATTTTGATATTCTGTGTTTTGCTTGCTAACTCATAAAACAGGGACTGCAACTGATCATCATTCATTCATTAGAAATAACATCCTGTTGGCTAATTGTCTATAACTAACAACAGCAGTTACTTTGGATTGTTAGGTTAGACTGGAGGTTTGGGTATAATGTTTCATAAGACAACGGGATAAAAAGTCAAATTTTCTGTTTTAAAGAATGTTGGCAAGACGATGCTAAAACATCTGACTTTACCAAAATGTTAGCTAGCTAATTTAGCTACGGATGGTTCCATGCTTGGAAAAAAGAAGCTAAAGAATAAAATTGAATATTTCCATTTCAAAATACCCGACATAATTAAAATTTTACTTGTGTAAAAAGCAACATCAGGCTATTCTTACATTAGGGGTATAATAAGCTCATGTTGATCTCTTTACTAATGCAAGAGAATAATTCAGAAACATCATGCTGAATGACACCAAACTAAGACAGCTTAAAAACACTGAATTCGGGGGATGTTTGACACAGATGAAAAAAATCCCAGATCCTGTTTGCTAAACACAATTAGCTTTCTTTTCAAAACTCAACTGCCTACATAGCATAAAAGTAAAGGGAACCTTTTATTCATTTTCATGTCTTTGTCGTAAACATACTGTTACAGTGTTAGATACTCATATTAAGGATGCTTAGATAGTGAGGTCTTTGGATGTATAACGCCTGTGAGCTGAAAACTACCTTAAAACTTGTTTTAAACACTCAGGTTCTGATAGCTACCCTTGGATAGTGATGGGTCGTTCGCGAACGAAATGGCTCTTAGAGCCG